AAATGATTTTATTTAGGATGCTTGACTTACTGAGGTAGGGAAATACGTGATTTTTAGTAAGTTTTCTGATAGAAAAAAGAAATTAAAACCAAGAACTTTCTGTTTCAAACAATTATCTTCTGTTTACCTAAAGCAGATGTCCGCTACAATATGATAAGCAGATATAAACCAAAAAGAAAAAATATATATGAACCTAACTTCTAAACCTGAAGATTTTGTCAATGCTTATAGTTATGCAGACATATTATTTACACTCCACTAGCCAGGGTTGGTAAATAATTAAATATTATAATCAAAGAAACAATATTACATATTTCCTTTAGATATCAATTAACCCTTATTTTGTGAAATCATTTTCAGACAATGAGGTAAAAGAAACAGGAGGAAAAATGTTTGTTCTATTTTTTAATAAATCTGCTAATCACATTTTTCCCTCAACTTAGCATATTCATTCTTCATGATAATGTATACATGCTTGCTAAAAATAAGATAAGATTTTTTTCATTGCTATACAAAATTCTAATGTCACCAATACTACCTTGATGAGTCATAAGCTACTTTTTCCACCGCTGCAAGTAACATAGTTCACATCCTAAATTAAATAAAAAGGACTGGCAAAGCACCCCGTTAATTTTTTTTAACCCTACACTTATTTGTAATAGCAGCAATTGCAAAACTTTAATATGCTCTCCAATAATAATAAGTAAGCACAACAGCAATTGCTAATGTTTATTGAACACTTGCTGTATTTTAAGCCAATCTCTCATAACATCTACATGCTAACACTTCCCATTTATGCAAGACTCATAGTTCAACTCAAATTTGCAAGATACTTATTATAGCAAGTAAAAGTTAAAGGGAAATATGTCATTCTGTTTACTCCCTTTCTTTGGAATAAATGATGATCCCAGCACTTTTCATGAATGCTATCACACATCAAACTCCACTTTACATCCTGCTCCAAAATGTACTAAGGTCTCATTCACAATGTTCTAAGGTCTCATTCACTCTCACTTTCAATCTGAAAGGGGTCATTTCTGAAGTTAGACCAGTATCAAGCTACTAACATTGTTTTAGGGACTTGAGTTCGATGTTATTAGTTTTCTTCAGTGACTTTAGTCATTTATAATAGGAATTATATTTTTAAATCTATGCCTTCCTTAAGATAAAGTTGTGTTCTTTGAAGTAATAGTAAAAACACCTGAAAAATTGCAAAAATCAACCCAAGTCATGTTTTTGAAACATTTTGTTAAATACAGGGTTTATTTAAAAGCTCAGATAATAAAGCAAGATATACTTCACATATAGACTTAATTGTAGAAAATAGTTTCCATTTTTTTATCAGAGCTTACAGGTATGTTTTAGGAATCTTATCCCAATGAATAGATTCCTCCTGCTATGTTTCAAAACATATTTAACATACACTGAATACTTTTCCTAATTCTTTTCCAAAATATTGTTTCTCCTTTGTGTAAGCAATTTTATCAAATTTAAAGAGAAGAAAATAAAAGTTCAGCATTCATAAATACTACATGCTTTTGTTAAAACACTAAAAAAAAAAATGCAATGTATTCATTCCTCACTCTTTATCTTAAAATACTGCCTTTCTGATCCTAGCAAAACATAATTTTAGTAACTCTTCAAGGCAGAATACATAAAATTGGCATATTTTTGATATGCACACAAATTGAGAAAGCATCTTTTCCAACTGTGTTGCAGAAAATGAAATGCATCTGGTATGACAATATGGCCCAACACGTGAACTAGAATCAGTGGGAAGAAAGGGGGTTCTTTTTTTTTCTCATTCTCAAAACAGAACATTTGAAATAATGCACATGGCCCAACAGCAAGGCATTATTAAGTCTGTTAGTATGAATTCCAAAGGTATATTTGGCTAACGAAAACACAATAGCAGGCACATGGAAAGTAGCCTGGTTTGTTCACTTTTACTCACATGTATCAGTGCCTCTAAAATCTCTTTCCCCAGCAGTCCAAAGCAATTTTTTTTTTCTTTGCTTTTGCTTAACATCTCCACCCACTGTCAGAGTACGTGCACATATGTTGTTGGGGCCTCATGCTGCGCTGGTGGGGTGGAGACGTGGAGAGTGTGTTGGAGAACATGGCTTATGCCAGGATCAAGCAGAGAACAAGAGAAAAATTAAACAATTTGCCTATTTTTGCAATAAATTTTATTTCTGCCTTGAAAGAAAAGTCTCTTCATCTAGGCACTCTAAAGATGTATTAAGGACTTTTAATGTATTTCTTTCTTGAGTACTGTGCTTGTGAACTGTGAATAAAGGTGAAATCTGTATGTGCTACATGCCCCTTCCCCATGCCGAGGTCTCTTTAGAGATTAGATGCTGAGAGAGTAAGGAAAGATCTCTGAGATATTCAGGAAACTTGGAAGGGTGCTGCAAAGCTAAGCTGACTCCTGAGCAACTGAATGAGTCCCCTTCCAGTTCCAGGTTCCAGTTCTATTTCTTCCTCTTCCCCACTCAGAGGGGAGCCGGGTCCTTTGAGGTGAGTCCAGAGGTATTTCCAGGACTGAGAAATCCTCTCTTTTACATTGGTGAAAGCTGTATTGGTGATTCAGTACAGAGAAAACTCTCCACTTCTCAGAGAACAAAGCCCCATGAGCAGCAGATGCTGAGGACCAAAAATGGTATCTCTTTCTGGGACTGTGTCTGGCATCGGGCAAGTCCCTCAGAGTTTATCATTTGGTCTGCCTATATCCCATCTTTCTCCTATTTTTTGAAAGATATTTTAACTTTTTAATTTCTCTTATGTCTATGTTGAAATGCTGATTCTCTATAATAAAAAGCTTCTTAAGAGTTATAGATCATGGCTAATAATGTCATTTGTAAATGTGATAAAATATATATGCAACAATCCATCACAGAACAATTACAAATTAATATAGCTAATCCATTATAGAATTGATTGTATATAGGAATGGGGAAAAAATCTCCAGAATACACATAAACTTGCAAGGCTCTAGTTTTATCAGTAAGACCAAAGTCATCTAAAAAAATACAACAAGTTCTAAAAGTTGTCAAAGGTAGCTGGAATAATGAAAAAATATTCTGGAGACTGACTTGAGTACAAAACCCCTCTCCGTCATCTGCTAACCATATGACCCTGGAAAGGTTATTTAACTTACGTGACCATTGGTTTACTAATCTATAAAATGACAATAAGAACTTGTATCACATTGGTCTGCTGTGAGGGTTAAACTATGTAGGGCTATAAAATGCCCAGCATATGGTAAAGGCATACATAATAGTGTTAGTTTAGTATCTTCTCCAGAATAAGTCAATATCTTTTGTATGTTAATATTTACATAGTAGTAGTGTTTTTTAAAGATTGATAGTTTCTGAAAACTTTTTGGCAAAAAGGAACATAAAAATTCAGTTACCTACTTTTTGCTTTGAAAATATTTTGGTTCAGTGAACTGCAATGTGATTTAGTAAGTTAACATTCACAGAAATATGATACATACCTCCCAAAATAATTAAATTATTATGTGTTGTTCTATTATTCTTGAAAGTGAAAGAAAAAAAAGTTTCCCAACTCTAAAATTCTTATACATTAGGATTGTATACACACTCAAAAATAAATACTTCATTTAATATATAGTATTCATCTATAATGAATTTAAAACATTCTTCTAAAACCATTTATCACTTTACTTTTAAAACCAAAAACAAGGGTTCTATCCAGTTCACTTTCAAGATGACAGAAAGGTAAATGTATTTAGTCTTTTTGTCACTATTATTTCTACCTACTCTTCTAAGAATAAAATCTTTTTCTGGATCATCAGGTGTTTGCTTACTGCAAGCAAATTTGTTTATTAGGTAACAAAACATACTCGTATTCTGGTTTATTTTCTGGAGCGACACTAAGAAATCAGTCCACAAGCTATAAAAACTTTCAACTGAAAGCCTATCTATTCCCATATCTTACCCTTCAAAACACAGTCTGATGGTTCCTTGTAGCTGAGCTTTTAATCTGCTACTAAAGTTGTAATGTGTCATTCATCCAACATATTTAATCAGAGTCAAAACAATGAGAAGGTTTAAATAAACTAAGATGTATTGGGAGAAAAATGTTCTTTAGGTCTCTGGCAGAGTGAAACTTCCAAAATATTTTCTAGAATTAAAATGATTTGATAAACATTTACAAAAAGAGCAGTGCCTCTTCGAGGCTGAGGGGGTAAAAACAGCCAATTCAGTGGGACACATTGTGGGTACCACACATAAAATTTCTAATAAAAGCACTTAAAAAAAAATCCTTGACTCTTGTCTGGGCAGTTAACAAGAAGTATAAAGCAGCATACTTTAAAAGCAAGTGCTTCGGATGACTATTAAAATTTCGCAAGGTTCATATGCATTTGACTAACGGGGAGGAGACGCGCCTGCTGTCCACTTTATGGGCAATGAATGATCCACTTGCCGCCGGGGAAGGTTTAAAAAGGGGGTGCCGGAAAGTGAGCAGTCCTGCGATGATGCTTTCCCGGCCACAGGACGTCACAGGTGCCATAAATTACCTCTCCACGTTTCTATTTCTTCCTGCCAGCCATTTGCTTCAAATGGTGCTGCCTCCACACCACCACACGTGGTTGTAATTGTTTTAAGTTACTGGGTTAGTTTTTTCTTTTGCCAAGATGAGACTTGGCTGGACATCTACTTCCAGGAGACCTCTAAAAAGTACCCACTTTAGGTCTAACTTTTCATTGGCTAGTCAGAGAGCTTCTGGTGACAGATATCATTTCTATCAAAACTAAAGTCCGGGTGCAGGTCAGAACTCTTTTCATCTTTGCCAAACAAGAGCGAGATGTTTTCTTTGCACTGCTTCATCTACTTAGAATTAATAGCATTTTCCCTTCCGCGCCCCGGCCCCTGCCCCCCGCCCTCGGTCCCCCGCTCCCCAGGAGGTGACCGCCTGAAGCGGGAGGCGTGGCCACGCGCACCCCGTCTCCGGCCGCGCCCACCGGCACTCACCTGGCTGCTGCTGCGCTCCTCGCCTGTCTCCGGGGCCCGAGATTCCGCGGGGCTCTGCGCTGGCTCTGCAGGAGGTGGCGGCGGCTCCAGCAGCTGCTCCAGGCAGGCGGTGCCCGGCAGAGAGGAGCTCTTCTGATGGCACAAATGCGCGCCGGGGCCCCGACGCCGTGCACCCTCATCTCGGGCGCGGTCCCCCCTTGGCGGCGGCTGGGGCGAGGAGGACAGGGAGGATGAGGCGGAGGAAGAGGAGGGAGCCGAGTCCGGGGAGCGTCCGCCAGGAGGCGTCCCTCCCGCTGCTCCCGCGGCCGCCAACGGCCCCTTTCCGGTGGGGAGCAAATGCTCGCGGATCCGGCGGCGCAGCGTGGACCCCTGTTCGGCTCTGCAGGCGGCGCCGCCGGGCTCTAGGGGCTCCGGCGAGGAGCAGCACAGGTTGGGCTGCGAGGAGGAGAAGACTCGGTCCAGCACTTGCTTCCGCTTCTTGAAGCCGCTCCACCTGCTGCCTGCACCACTCCCGCCGGCTGGTGCGCCCCGCGTGCCCCCCGGGGGTGGCGGGGAGGGCGACGGGGTGTCCGCAGTGCGGCGCTCCGGACCCCCCGCGCGCCCGCCCCCGCCCCCGCCCACCTTGCTCCTGCCCACTCCCAGCTGCAGGTTCTTCCAGAGCCGGGCCTGGAAGGAGGAGGACGCCGCCGCCGGCTCCTGCTCGCCCGCCGCGGCAGCCCGGGGCTCCATCCTCCACCCCCTGCTCCTCCTCTCCCCTCCTCCTCCTCCTCCTCCTCCTGCTTCTCCTCCGCCCTCTCCGGCTGCGCCTTTTACCGGGGCCCCGCGGTGGCGGTGGTGGCGGCGGCGGGCGCAGCAGCAGAAACCGGGAGTGCCCAGCGACTTCAGGCCAGCTCGGGGGAAAGAAACGGCAGCCGCCGGCGCCGAGGCACTCCGGCCTCGGGACTCCGGCGCCGCCTCTTCCTCCCGCACCTGCTGGGGTGAGCTGGAGCGGTCACCGGATCCCGGCCGCGGCGCCTGCAAAGTTTCTCGCTCGAAGCTCCGCGGCTCCAGTCCACTGGCGTCCCCCAGGCCGCGCCCTGGCTCCCTCCTCTCGCTGACCGAGCTCGGGAAGCTGCACGCACCGGGGCGTGCGCGTCCAGCTGCGCCAGGGACCGCACCCGGCGCCCTCCGGGCAGCACCTGTCAGCGGCGGGGGCAGCTGCCTCCAAACTGGGCGGGCACGCGGCTCACACGACACGGCGCGTCCGGCTGGAGGCTCCGGGGACCAGCAGTCCCCTTGGGGCGCCCCGGGACCATCCTCCAGCTCCTAGGTGGGAGGGCCGGTAGGAGCCGGGTGGAGCTAGGTAAGGCCCGAAGCCAGCTTGCTCCCCAGGATCGGGCCACAGTTGCCCACGCGGCTCGCTCTGCGCTGGCCACCGGGCGCTCTGGCAGTCGTCTGGGTCCGATGAAGCGAGCTGGAGTGGAGACTATGCGCCCTCGATGGGTCTCGTGGGGGCACCGAGCGTCCACACTGAGCGATGAACCTGACGGAGTTCTAAGGCTGAACACGTCTGCCCCCGCCCCGTTGCGCGCTCTGGGTCCAAGACGAGAGTTTAATTTCTTCTGTCTTGACTTCATCCCCATCCACCCCTCCCTTCTCTTTATTTGCCTGTGCACTGGTCTCTTATGATCAGGACCTAGCATTTCCGGAGTCTGACGATAAAGCCAGCCCTTAAGTTGCAGGGAGTTTGCGGTGGATGAAGATGGGTGATGCGCACTGCCTTTGATCCGATTCGGCACACAGAGAATCTTGTTCTTTTCATTCAAGCGCATTTTTCTTTGGTGACTTCATTTGCTTGTTGCAAGGCAAATGGAAAAGGCTTTTGGCTCATTCATACTTTGCTTCCCCCAAAGCTGCTCAGCTAGGATCTTCTTATTCTACTAGGAGAGACTTCTGAAAGGCCAGCAACAAACACAATGCCTCTTTCGTCCTCCCAAATGTGGAAAATGGGAGAGAGTTCCCTAAGCTGCAGCAGCACACTGATCAGTCTTGTCTGGCTAGCAGTATCCTTTGGAGGTGTTACCAACCTAAGTGTTTTGTTTTGTTTTTCTTACCTTTATAACATTTATTAAGCACCTACTATGTAGCAGGCACTATGATAGGCTCTGGGGATGCAGCTGTGAACAAGGCAGTGGGGTCCCACCCACATGGAGCTTATTGTGAGGGTGAAGGTTGGGAGGGATGTCAGACAAAAGAATTTGTAATATTGAAAAGTCCCATGGAAACAGTTAAGCAGGGTACCACATAACAGAGTGGCTTTAGAGGAAGAGTTTCCAAACAAAATGCAGGATACAAATTAAACTGAATTTGAGATAAAAAATGAATGTTAGTATATACAGGTCCCAAATATCACATGGGACATACTTATACCAAAATAGTATTATTTATCTGAAATTTAAATTTAACTGGGTGTCTTGTGTTTTTGTTTGCCGAATTTGGCAACCCCATATGGAGAGGTTTTTGGTTTTTTACATTAAGTGTACAGGGAGTCTCTCTGAAAAGATAAAAGTTGAATTAAGACTTAATGGGGACAAAGAACCAGCTATTGATGGATCTGACTGTAGAATTTTAGGTAGAAGGAACAGCAGATACAGAGGTCCTGAGGCAGGAAGCAGCTTGACTAGGCATGTTCAAGGACAGATGGATACCACTGCAAATAGAGTAGAGCAAGGTGGGTGGGGTTGGTAGGAGATGCAGGGAAACAGAAGGTCAGCTAATGGAGTGCGTTGTAGCCACAGTGAGAGTTCATGGTTCCTCTAAATGAAATGAGGAGCCACTAGAGGTTTTTTTGGTTTGTGTTTTTGGGACAGAGTTTCACTCTGTCACCCAGGCTGGAGTGCAATGGCATGATCTCAGCTCACTGCACTCTCAACCCTCAGGGTTCAATCGATTCGCCTACCTCAGCCTCCCAAGCAGCTGGGATTACTGGCATGTGCCATTACGCCCCGCTAATTTTGTATTTTTAGAAGAGACAGGGTTTCTCCATGTTGGTCAGGCTGGTCTTGAACTCCCGACCTCAGGTGATCCGCCCACCTCAGCCTCCCAAAGTGCTGAGATTACAAGGGTGAGCCACTGAGGCCAGCCCATTAGAGGTTTTTTAAAGCGTGAGGGTGATGTGATTTACTAAAACTAATCCCAGGCATTAACAAATAGTCTCAAGAGGCTATTTTGAAGATTAAGTGAAAAAAGGACTTATCTCAGTGCCTGTATATAGTTGATATTATTGTTTGGCAAACCAAATATTTCCCAAGTGCATGAATACTATGTTTGGAAAGAAAGCAATGTTAGTAGATAAACATTGGGCTACATTTAAATAACAAATTGAAATGACAAGATTGTAGAGATGGATTGTGGTTGCCAGGGGTTAGTGGTGAGACAAATGTAAAGGAACAAAATAAAGAAGTTTACCTGTTATGATGAGACAAACTTAGATTGTGGTGGCGGCTACATGAATCTGTGTTATACACGGGATAAAGCTGCATAGAACTATGTACATGCATGAGTGCACATAAAAGCTGGTGAAATCTGAATGAGGTGAGTGAGTCGTACCAATGGCAATTTCCTGGGTTTTCATAATGAACTGTAGCTATGTATGATAATAACATTGGGGGAAATTGGGTGAAGGTCACACAGGAACTCTATATAGTATGTTTGCAACTTCCTGTGAGTCTATAATTATTTTAAAATTTAAAGTATAAAAGCAAAACAAAAATAAAGCATGGTTTTTTTTTTTTTAAAGAAAATGTGTACTGCTGACAGTTTTCCTTTGGAACCCTAATCATTGAATGAAACAGTCTTAGAGCTACAATGGACTACCCTTTCTCTGTAGCTCTGTTTTCACCAATCCCACCTAATCCCTGAGGAAACCTCTGAGAAGCAAACGAGGGAAAAGTCTGGTGAGGCAGAGTCCATGTTAGGGCACGTTCACAACTGCAAATGTAAGCACAGAGGCTGTGAGGCTCTCTCCACACAGAATAAGAAAAGCCAACCACATTGCCTCTATGGAGGTGCCTAATCTCGGTGAAAGCAGAAGATGTGGCATTTTTCATCGGCTTTTCCTTCCTCTTCGCTCCAGTTTTCTTTCTCTGTATTTTATTTCTGTGAGTTAGTCCTTACTTGTCACAGGTAAGTTTAAAAGTTTCAGGTAAACCTTTTAAAGTTTCAGTTAAAACTCTTCAGGTAAATTATAAATATCATAGCTAAGTCTAACTATGTAGTTGGTGGCTTTAAGTGTTACCTCTCTCTATGGTATTTATGAGCTAACGGGGCTTTATACAACTAAAACCTCCGTTAAAAGAAGTGGAAACCTTTGTTAAGGACTTGGCCATTCAAGGTAGTATTCGCTTTGCAAAGTGAGCTACACACCATCTTTGGAGGCTTTTGCTCCAAACCTGCATCAGTCCTTTATTCAATCAATACGGGGATCATTTTGAACAGCCCAAGGCAAGCTGTCTTTTCCACACCAGATAATCAAGCTGAAAGCACCAAGACCACAAAAAAATTACCTGAATATAAAGCTTCTCTGAAAGCCCAAAAAGAAACTGCACTACCCAGAAATCTTACTGTCACTAATAAAGGAAAAATATTTTGTTGCCAGTTTGTTACAATGGTAGACTGGAGATAAGGCTACACAATTCAACCTTAAATTCATATTGTCTTTAATAATGCATGTAATTGACTTTTTCATGTAATTTTTCTCTTCTATGTAATTGTCTTTAAATACGCTGAGATTTTGAGTTCTGGAATTTATAATCCCAAATAACACTTATCCATCAATATGAATTCATCTACACATCTTGAAAAAGCACATGTAACTTTTCCTAAATATCTAAAGTGGATTATAAAATGAGACTACCCTACAGATTGTGTATCATATAAAGCTACACTAGATAAGGTCTCTTCTTTCAAATGTCTTATTATATTTAAGAGAAGATACTTACATAAAAACTACAACACAAGCAAAAAGTTAATGGTACAAATTAATCACTGAGGAAGTGAAGAATGACTTCTGGCTTGACTAATCAAGGAGGACTTCTTAGAGGCATGTGAGGTAAAATCTAGTGCTGGTGACAGGGTATAACAAGAAGATGGATTGGCACTAGCAAGGGTAAGCAAAATTCATGTCATGTAGCAAGACTTTAATAAATGTTAGCTATTCTTTTTATTACAGTTTACTGTCTCGAATATTGATAGAGCATTTATTGCTTAGATTACTATTAAATATGCTTTGCACACTGATATTGAGGAGGCTGAGGTGATGTATAAGTCAATATTTGAGCAGAAACCCAAAGGAAATGATGGAAGGAGCCAAATAGCGAATCTGAGGAAAAACTTTTCCAGAAACAGGAAACACGAAGTACAAAGAGGCTGAACAGGAACACTGTCGGCTTCAACAATGGCAAGGAGGGCAAAGTAAGTGGAAGAAAGAGAGCAAGAGGGGTATGAGAAGAGAAAATATTGCAGAGAAGCTCAGGGCCAGATGATGTAGGATTCTGTAGGTGACAGTAAAGACTTTGGACTTGGGAAATGGAAAGCCATTGAAGGGCTTTGAATAGAGTTTTTTAAATAGTCAAATTGCATTTTAAAAGGCTCATTCTGGCCTCTTTGTTGACAATAGAGTGGAGGGGCATGGATGAGAATGGAGTTTAGATAGGAGCCAATTCTGGGAACAGGGTTTAGATAGGAGCCATACACAAGGGGCAGTGGTGGCTTCCACTGAGGTGGTAGGCAAGAAGTGATGACCATAGTGATATTCTAGATACAGCATATTTTGAAGATAGAAATGACAGCTGGGCATGGTAGCTATTTGAGAGGCTAAGGAGGAAAGATAATTTGATCCCAGGAATTGGAAGCTGCAGTCAGTTATGATTGTGTGACTGCACTGCAGCAATGGTGACAGAGCAAGACCCCATCTCAGAAATAAATACATAAAATTAAAGATAGAGCTGAGAGGATTTAGCATAGTTTGAGCATGGGGTACTCAAGCATTATGTTACATTGTTTGCATTATTTGTCATACACAGTTCCTACTGCAATCCCATTTCATAGATGAAGAAATCAACTCTGAGGCATATTATGTGACTTACAAGGTCATTCATTGAGTAATTAGCAGATCCAACAATAGAAGCCAGGTCCATGGGATTCCAAAGCCAGACAGCTTCTTTCATTTTAAAATATATGCACAAATAGAATAATTAATGGAAAGAAGCCTCAAAAGAAGAACGGATCTATGCCCTTGCCTTAGGTGAGCAATAAGACAATCTTGGACAGGACCACAACTTCCACTCAATGAGATTAAGGTTGTAAATGCAAGCACAAAAACAACATTTCTGGAACTAATCAAGTTAAAGGCCAATTAAATGGCATTTCAGGAGCCCCATTGTCAGTGTCGCTCTGGCTGCTGTCCCAGCTCCCAGCACTGGGCTAGATATTCTCAGGCCCTCCTGTTCTCTTCCAGTCTCTGAAATGGAATAATAATATCTGTCCACCTA